CATGGTGAACACTTCCTGCAATGTTGTAGGACCAACATAAAGTATGGCACTTGACACCAAGTGCCATGAATTGTCCCCTGGTGTTGAGTGTGCCTTCTGTAATTTATCATCCCTAATTTCCAACTGCTTGACCCTGGCTTCCAAGAGATCTTGTGTGGTCTTGACTTTTTCCCAATCAATTCCAAGGTAAGTTTCAAACTCCAAATCCACTGGCAGTACTGAGGCTTGTCCAATGATTATTTTAAAGGTTGAGTATCCAGTTGTTCTCTTAGTCAAAATTCTGTCCACAAAGAGCACCAAGGGTTCATAATTTCTCCACTTCTTGCCATCTGTTCCACATAATTTAACCAGGGTTTTCTTCAGAGACTGATGTCCTCTTTCTACCATTCCATTTTCTTCAGGGTAGTAGGGGGTGGTGATTCTAACTGATATTCAAAAACTCTTGAATGCATCCTGAAACTGTTTTCCAAATTCTGATCCTCCATCCACTGAGACCATTCAGGGGGCACCAAATCTGTAAATCCAGTAATTTTGAAAACATTGAGCAATCTTCTTGGCCTGTATCTTTTCCAATCCAAATGCTTCAATTTTAGAATCCAAAATTTAGTTGTGTCTGGTGAGATTCAAACTCACGACCTCAGTATAACTGACACCTTATGCAAAATGCAGGTGATTATGCAAAATCACCTTCTGGTGGTTTGTAATCCAAGTGTGCAACACGCGGGTGCGCAGCACAAACCACCAGAAGGCGATTTTGCATAATCGCCAGCAGTTTGCATAAGATGTGAGAAACATGCTAGAGTGCTGCCTTTAACCAACTAGGCTACAGACGCTTATTATTGCAGCTGAAGTTGACATTTCTGTACAGTTACCAAAGGTATGCTTGTAATCTTCTGGGATCAAGTCTTGATGTGCGCTTGCACTGCTTGTCATGTTACCAGGTCCAAGTCTTATAATCTTTGGGTGTCATCTGCATAGAGCAGATTTCAACTCCAACAATTTTGTACTGTGGTATTGTTTCAGGGACATCTATGTCCATTCAGGGGGTGGATTTCCATTAGTGATAGTGGGAAGGTTGGCACACACCCATAGCCAACTAAGCGCCTAGTGAAGGCTGGGGAGGAAAAATTTGAATTTTTTTCTTGAAATTGACTTGAAAATTCTGAATTTTAACATGATAAAATCTCATAAACATTGGGTAAAACATATTTATATCAAAAAAAATTGGAGAATGAGATTATCTGAACCCCACATCCAAAGCTAAATTTTATCACAACTCATCTGGAACTCAAGGGGGATTCAATGGCACATGTGATCCAAAATGTATTACACTAACCAAATTTGGAAATTATTTTTTTCAATTAACTACACTTTTAAAACAATGCAGGAACTTATCTGAAGATTTCATATTGAATGAAAATTAAGAGTTAAGCTGGAGCTCAAGTTATGAAAATGTTTAATTTTACCCCATTATCACATTTCACCTCCTATCTATATCAATTACACTCTTCTGAATTTACATTGGTAATATATTCAGTTGTATGATTAATAATGAAGCTTATTAAAACATCTACCACATATTATGAATAAAAAGTAAATTTCTAGGCCATGATAATTTTTTCTTTCCCTCTGATATCCAATGTGATTTCAAGATATTTTCCTGATATTCTTAGTACATCCAATTGAATATTAACAATTCTGAAAATCTCAATTTATTCAGATCATCTGTAAGGGACAAGTGATTTACCCATCACTAAGTCTTGCGGAAGGAGGGGGAACTAGAACTAGACATTTGTCTAGGAGAGTGTTTCTATAACCAGTGTTTGATTTCAAAATAAGCTAGCTCCGTAATGTCAGGAATTTACCAATAAAATGATTAAAATGAGAGAGATAAAGAAAGATAGAAGAAAAATGATAAGAGAAGAAGGAAGTTGGCATACCTAGCTCTGTAGAGGTTGATGTCAGGACTGTGCAGAGCTAGAAGGTAAAGTGTTTTCATGTGAGCTGTTTTGTGAAAACTGTTGAGATGGGTTTGCCATTATTTTTCAAAATTTAGTGTTTACAGTAACTCTTATAAGACCAAATAAATCCATCAAGACGAACAGAGTTTTTAAAATTTAAATTTGATCACCACAGAAACAAATCTCTCTGTGCCAGATCATTTTACGTGCGATCACATCTAATCTCAAACAATAAATCCTTCAGTACTTTATATGTTGACTCCTCAGAATCTCTTGATTAAGGTTGGTTTGATGCACAGTGTAGGAAAAAAAATAAGATGTGATATTGTTTTCAATTCACACCAACTCATTGTTTCTAATGTGAAGTAAGTCTTTGAGAAATTTTAATAGAACCATTGAGTCACTTTTGACACAATTGAATCCTCAATCTATTCAGATGATTGTAAGGAATCCAAAAATTCCCCTCATGTTTCTTTACTCAGATTCTTTACCAGTTATCACTAAGATCTAACTGTCAGCTATTTTTTATCTTTTTCAGATGTTTGAGAGTTTTCAGAGGGTTTATAACTTACTGATATTAAGAAATTTGACTCTCAACAATTTCATATGATGGAGAGGGTTTTAATGAGCCTTCCTGTTTCATTGATTCTTCCTTACATAATAAACAATTATATAAACCAAAGATCAGAATATTATGCTGCATTTATTCATGTGGTAATGTAATTTTTCTCAAACAAGTATTTACTAGACCACAAAAGCATCACTATTTATTCTTTTTATTTCGATAAAATTGAAGTTTTCTCAGAGCCTTGATTTTCTCAAGTTTTTTGTGCTCATCTAGCTGAGACTACAGCTTTTTTTTGATCTCCTCAAATCTGCCCAATTCTGACTCCAGGATTTGAGGTTCAGGGGCCAAGATAACACACCCATTGTTCATTAAATCAAAAAGAACACAGAACCATACTGCCTCATGCTCCTTCTCCAACTCAATCTGCACCCACTATGCACACTTCCTCAACTCATCAATCTGCCAATATCTCCCAATAATAAGGTTAATCTCTCCTCCATATGTATCATGAATTCTCTCTGCATTCATCCCGGCCTTCCCAATCAAAACTAGGTAGCCTACCTGTGATCCATACCCTACTTGACTAATTGTAAGCTAATCATCTTTACGTGGAAGGCTGCAATTCTTGCCTGCAAGTGAAGTCCTCCACCCAGAAACTGCTAGGAACACTCAAACCACTACCAATCCCTGCTGAAACCTGGACAGATATCAGCTATGACATGATTACAGATCTCCCAATTTTGAACGGCTACGACAGTATCCTGACCGTGGTTGACCAACTGACAAAGGATGGCTCCCTTCATCCCTTGTTCAAAGACAATGAGTTCCGAGAAGCTAGCGCAACTGATGTTGAACAATGTTTGGAAACTCCACCGAAAACCAAAAACCATTGTATC